TTTATTTTTACATATCCACATACACACACACACATATATATATATGTATATATTCATATATATATATATGTTTATATATATGTATATATATAAATATACATTCTTTTATATATATATATATATACGCACACACACACATCTATATATCTATATATCTATATACATATTCAACTTGTTTACTATCGAATATATAATAGATAGGGTTCAAATACGAATTCAGCTCGCAAGGAGGCGTACGTGCTATAACATAATCGTCTCTATTGTCGAAGTGAGGGTCAGATGGAGCCGGCCGGAAGGCGGAAGTAAAGGTACATATGCTGGCTTTGTACAATCTCTGGAGTGGTATATGATCTGGTGCCTCTCTAAGAACTCTATCATATTGCTTGCTTTGGGGATTGTTATTGCACACCCTGTACAACGTCTTATAATATTTACATGGCTGTAAATAGGTGGCTTTAGATCACTGCACATATAATTTGATAATAAACCAAAATAAACAACGTGGTATGAATCGGATCGTTTGTTGCGGACGTACATCTTGTTAAGAATTCATGTCTGCTTGACCTCGGCTATCTCATTTCACTTTGAACCTACTTTGTAATAACGCGACGGACGTATAAATTATAGATAGAATTGATTGATAGAAATACAAAATCATGCCATTGTTGCACTTACACTCTTCTTGACTGTTGAAGGGTTAAGGTTGAAGATACCCATTATTTTTCTTGTGCGTGGGAAAGTGGGAATATAAGGATATGGAATATACATGTGTATATACAGAGCATATATAAAAAACTTTTGTAATATGACATTACATAACATATTTACATAGCCTAATAGCCTTTTTTAAAGATCCGACACTTTATATTATTTATAGAGATCAACCATCCTCACATGCTTGTTTAGATGACTGTTGTCGGCGTATTAAACTCACCCCAGAAAACATACGAATACAAATGTAAATATTTACTCCTTTTAAATATATTTTATATATATTTGTTTAAAAAAAAGTAATAATAATAGGAAAAGATAAGAAACAAGCGACATATAAAATGCATATTTGCGGCAATTTGAGCTGATCACGAACCAGTCTGAGTAGATAGTATAGGTTCACTAGAGACCACATACATAAGGCTTGAACTAATAAGAGGTTTGTAAGGGTCTATTAGGTAGTTGAAGTGAGATTGGATCCAACTCTGTCGGACGAGGTAGTTCATTCACAGTCTCCATGCAAGAGGTGGTCATCAACAGGTCGTTGGACACCCTAGCGATCGTCGCTTGAATAGATATGGGGGGTTTCTTCTCGAGAGTATGTTCACGAGGTTGATTATTTGATCGCATTTTAGTCAGCATTCTCAACCTTGATACGCTTGATTCGTGGTATTTGGTGATTTGTGATATCTTTGGCGTCTACTAGAACTAAGTTTTGTGCGCTATGGAACTACTGTCACGAACCATATACGACACGGATACTGTCTATAATACGTCAATATTTTTACCTTATTGCTTGTCTGAAATTTGAACAAAGTATTTAGTATTTTGCCTGACGAGCTCGTCAGAAAATTCACGTTTATCGATTTGCACGCTTTCGCCTATCCAGCTCTTTGGCAACTCCGAGTTTCGAGTGTTAATGTTAGGATTGGATGCAGTCGGGAAGACAACGATACTATACAAGATTAAATTAGGGCAGTCGGTGACGACGATACCAACTGTTGGGTTCAACGTAGAGACCCTCACTTGGAAAAAAGTCAAATTCAACGTCTGGGTAAGTAGCGTATTCCGAATATATTGTTTCATGTACAGATATATTGAGGCTAGAGTTTGTATAAAGTGCTCATGAGAACAACAGGTGAAGGCCACTAATATGTGCTATGGATTGCAAACAAATAACCTCCACTGCTTGACAAATATTCAATGTTTTTGTACTATTAGGACGTAGGAGGCCAGGACAAAATCCGTCCATTATGGCGTCATTATTACACAGGTAGGTCACTGCAGTAGTAAGTATAAAATTTCTTGGAATCCATAGCTACCTGTTGATTGCGAAGAGATCCAAGTGTGAAAATGGATGATCATCAATGCATTTTTATGTGTATATGTATTTTTATATTAGGAATCAATATAGGTATATTTAGATTTGTATGTTTATGTGTGTATATTCATTTGTATATATATGGGTTTGCGAAAGACGTATGTGTATGCATACACATGTGTATAAAACTACACACACACGCACACACATACATACACACATATCAAACACTTAAAACACACACACACACACACACACA